ACCTCGCTTCGCGCGCTCGCCACGCGCTCGCCGCGGCGACGGCGCCCGCGACGTCGTCATGGCGACCGCCCCGGGCGCCCCCACCAGCGAGGCGCGACCTTCACACGCATTTTTTACCTACACACGCACACACGCAAACTCGCACGCACACAAACAAAAACGAGCAACGCCATTGGCTGTCCCAGCCACGCACACACGCAAACGCGCACGCACACAATCAAAACGGAGCAACGCCATTGGCTATACCAGCCGTGGTCATTTCTAAACGGTTTGGTATATACCTAGCATTACTACTTGCATATCTTAACAACAAACTACAACATCTGCAAAATAACGCCTTGAGATTTATATATCGCTTGCGACGCGATGAAAGGCTAGAACCGTACCGAAGGAAAGCGAACTGGCTTTCCATTTCATCTAGGCGACAATATTTTTTTGGGAATCTCACACACCAAATCATAATGACCTCCCAGCCTTCTTACCTTGCAGCTAGATTCATTCCCATTGATGACCCTGTACGTCGTTCATCTCGTTTGCACTCCTCTCGGTACATGCTACCATTCACTCACACTAATATTTATGCACGCTCATTCTGGATCACTGCCATACAATTCTGGAACTCACTACCGCATCGTCTACAAACTCTCTCATCCACAACATCATTTCGCGCCAATATCCTTCTACATCTTCTTAGGACTGACCATAGTTAGGCCTGTAAATGCATCGCAGCAGTATTCATTAACTTGCGTAGACGTTTAGTACTTACCAAATTGTTACTCTATATATTATTTTATACAATAGGTCTATTTTTTGTTTATCTAATGCGAGCTCCTCTTAAGAGTAAAACTAAATATTTCTGTATCTCGTTTTTGAGTATATTAAACGACTATAGTTTATAGTTTCGTTGGCCACCAAGTGGCAGAGAGACTATTACTGTTATAGCCTAAGATAGCATCCGAAGCTTTGTAACGGCAGGATGTCAGTCTTGCAGAAATTAGTTATCTTTATACTGCTTTAACTTGACGAATAACTTTCACAATCGGAAGAACTGAAAAAGCAATACCAAGACCGTTGTGACAAACTATTATCAAGTATAATAAAACAGAAATTCGTTTTTCTTTTAAAAATATGTAGTATCTAAAACACTTTCACTAGTTAAAATTATTTTTTTTTTTAATGATGAAAACTGATCCCCTTCTGTTTATAATTATGGCATTGTGCCACAAAACATTATGTAGTATTTTTTTTTGATTTTACTTTATTATTTTCCATTATAGCACGTATAAGGTGTCTGACTAGCGAAGCTTCTACCGGCCGCCACTAGGAGCGCGCAGAGAGATCTTTGGATCGCCAATAGCGCGATGAGCCTCTAACCCCTGTTTTCACTAGAGACCTAGAAAACAGAGATGCGTCATTGAAGGGTATGGCTTGATTGACTGTCTAAATCACGTGATCAGAGAGCCATTTTAATTCACTATTGCATCTAATAGATATAGTTTTGTAACGTAAAGACGAGAGTCGTTAACATAAAAAAATGACCGGGAGTATCTAGCGTATACGCCGTGAGCTATTCTGGTTCTCTTGTTCCAGCGCCATCTATCGAGCAACGGCAGATCGTCGATCACGCGCGTGTATTATCGGAAAGTGATTCCATTTTCTACATCCTTCCTCTTTGAGATGATAATGGCCATCTGAACATAAAAAAAACAAAAAAATAAAAAAAAATATATTGTCTTCAAGAACAGCAAAAGACTTAAAAGAAAAAACTCCGTGTTCATTGTATTATTTTCTTTTGATAAACTTATTAGCACGATAATTTCGTGGGTGTAATTATTTTTCGCCCGCTTCGAGTTCGCCTCTCAATTTGGTCTGCAGCTCTGATGTCCCGTGGCGTCTTCTCAGTTTCGGCTGTGGTCTGTTCCATCTTGGGCAGGGAAGGCAATCCGTTGATTACGGACGATCGCTCATGCCGGATGTTGTTACGTTACAGATTTCCATTGATGACTGCTGCCGACACTTCCAAGGGATAAAGTCTTTGCACTGGTCTTTGAACTAGTTCTCCCGTAACTGTACGCAGCTTGACCACACGTACTACTCCGTCTTGCCCTGGGAAAACTTGGATGACCCTTCCCAGCGGCCAGTTCAGACGTTTCAACTGATCATTGCCAATGAATACAACGTCTCCTATCTTGACTTTGGTATGCAAAGTTTGACCTCGTTTTCTACTTTTACGGGATAGTTGCTCGAGATATTTGCTTCTGAATCCGAGTCGTAAGTGTTTACGTAATTCTTGGCGGTATTTGAGTCTTTTGTTGAGCTTCTCTGTAGATGCGATTACGTCTAACAATAAGTCCGGGACGCTGCTGCTGCGTATATCTTGTAAAAACAATGCTGGTGAAAGAAGAAGAAGCTGTTGCGATTCCTTTGCAAGGTATGAGATAGGGCGTGAGTTAATCATCGCCTCGCAGTCGCACAAGATCGTTATGAGTTCTTCATAGTTCAGAGAAGCCCATTTCAGTACTCTCCGTAGAACTTCTTTTACGGATCGGACTAGTCTCTCCCATCATCATCTCCACCAAGCGGCGGAGGGAGGGTTGAAAATCCATTGAATTTTCTCCACTGAACCATACTCTTCGACTTTTGTCCAATCAATTTCCTGAAGATTTCGACTGGCCCATGTAAAATTTGTCCCGTTGTCTGTGTACACTATGGAGGGTCTTTCTCTTTGCGCGATGAATCTACGAAATGCTTCCAGGAATAGATCAGTAGATAATGATGTTACTAGTTCCAGATGGTTGGCTCTATAAACTGCGCAGTTGAAAAGGCAAATCCATGCCTCATTACCGTTTTTTATTTTTTTTAAGAAATAATGGACTCGCATAATCCATTCCAGTGATTTCGAAAACTGACGTGTCTCTGACTCGACTTTCTGGTAATGCCACTGGTGGTATCTCGATTTTCTTTGCGTTATATCTTTTGTAAGTGATACATCTTCTGATAACTGATAATCCAATGTTGCTCGCGTAACCGGTTTATCACGATTTCTGTTTGTGATTTAATTTCTTGTGTGTGAACTCGATCAACTTGATGACTACTGGATGATCACAGTCTAATAAAATAGGATGTCGAAATTCTAAAATGTTCTGTCTGTTCGAGATTAAGCTTTTTGTCCTTAGGAGTCCTGTCTCATCTGAATATATACACAAGGTGTTCAACCCGATGTCGTTAATGCCTGAGAAGCTTTCTTCCTGCGATAGTCTTAACAATGTTAGTTCTGCTAAATGGACTTCCTTTGCTGTCAATAGTGTGGTAGATCGAACATCTTTTTTCTGTCGGCTGTTATTAATGAAGCTTCGTATCCAGGCCAGCATCAGAACAATACGAATATAGTTGGATGAAGTTGAAAGACGAGCCACTAAATTTTTCTTATGCTGATTCTTGTTTCTAGTTTGAACTAACAACTGGATCCTTCCCTGACACGTTTTCTTAGTTTCTCGTTTACTATTAGATTTTCATTTACAGTGAAATCGGAGGATGGCCACAACTGTGGAGGAAGCTTGAGCCACGATGGTCCTTCCCACCATCGTGATTGTAAAAGTTGTTTTGCGTTATAGCCTCTTGATGCGAGGTCTGCCGAGTTCATCCTGGTACGTATCGCCAAGATTAAAAATTACTGAGTTGTCGTATCTCCTGAACTCTGTTGCATACGAAAATTGCCCATTGAGTATTTCTCTGGTTCCATGCTAAAACCGTTGATGAGTCCGTCCAGAAGTGTTGTATGATTTCTGAGTTGTTTAAAGCTTTGATTATATTATTAAAAGTCTAACTCCCCTGTCGACGTTCCTAGCAATTCCAATCTAGGAATTGTCGCTTTTTCTTTTGGTGCTATTCTGGATTTAGCTTGAATGAAGTGTACTTCTACTTTATTGGCGTGTTCGATTTTAGAAAATATCACTTCACCGTAAATTTCTTGACTTGCATCTACAAAAAGGTGTAAAGATAATGTTTTACCGTTACCTAAAGCCATTTCGGTATTTTGAGATGGCATAAGTATTCTAATTTTCGCTGCCATTGCAGAAAATTTTCCTTGATGTTGTTTTCGATTTCTACATCCCAGTCTATATCTTTGTGCTACAGGGTTTTTAAGAGTAATTTGAGTTTGAGTTGCACTGGGCACGTTACTCCGAGTGGGTTAAAAATTCTTTGAATGAATGACAGTATTACATGTTTCGTGATCTTATCTGGAGCCTTTTGTAACAACGTTGTTGGCGTTAACATAAGAGTGTCCTTCTCTCACGTCTCATATCAGTCTGAGTACTGGGAACTTGCTGGAACTTGACATGTCTGATAGTTGCCATCCCCTCAGGTCGAAATTACTTTCGGCTAAAATTGAGATTGCATTCTCCTTAAATATAATCGCTTCCTCTATAGATTTGGCGCTGGTAATGCAATTATCTACACAGAAGGACTGCTTCAATTTCTGAACAATGCCTTTACTATAGATGTCTTGAGTTTCCTCTAGGGTTCGTTCTAAATGGAGATTCATAGTAGCTCCTAATAGAAATGGACTGCTAGTGATTCCGAAGACTATACGACAATGACGATATATTATTAACTCCTCTGGTTTCTGCGTGTGTCTCCATAAAGACCTCGTGACATCACGCTCTTCCGACGCTATGCTTATCTGTAAAAACGCTTTCTGGATATCGGCTGTTATATCAATTTTATTTTCTCTGAATCGTAAAAGTATTGATGGAATGAGTTCTATTAAATTAGGTCCAGCTTCTAAACATTGATTCAAGGAAGGTTGATTTTTACTTTTAACTGACGCATCAAAAATTGGTCGAATGCGAGTTGTGCTATCTTCTTTAATAACTGGGCTGTGTGGTAAGTAAAAACTTGGATTGCTTATTTCCTCTTTAGGAACTATTTCTATGATGTTTTCCTTCAACCAGCCGTTAAAAATTTTCTCGTACTTGTAGAGTAGGTTGTTGTTGTGCAGTCTTTTTATCATATTGTCAAGTCTACTTTCAACTTGCTCTCAATTTTCACAAAGTGGAGGGTGATTCTCTTTCTATGATAAAATTACTTCATATCTTCCAACTGCATTAATATTAGTAGTCTCTTGAAAATTTCTTAAGATTTCTTCATGGTGCTCTTCTTTTGACAATTTTTGAATCGGGTTCTCGATCCCAAGTGTGTCAAGTTTCCACTTGTGTTCTGGGCTCGCTTCTAGAGATAACATCGAAGAGATCATTAAAGTAGTATCTTCACGCTGTTTATTGGGTGTTTTTCCTAATAAGGTCCAGCTCAATCTGGTTTCTATGGCGGTGGTATCCAAATTGTACATTCTACCTGTATATAATTTCTCAAGAACGTCTGCTCCAATAAGTATTGATATCGGCTGTTCATCTATTCCTGTGTCGGATAGGTTTATGGATTTTTGACGCAGTTCTTCTTGCCAATTTCCTGTCACAGTTTGTTTAATATTCTGACAAATTGTATCTTGGTGAAAGGCGATAAAATTGTACTTATAATCATCGTTTAATGAACTCAGACAGATTCTATAACATTTGTGTTCTTGCGGTGTGGTTTAGTGCCACCGCAGAGTAGGTGTATTATTAAAAACAAGTAAATATGATAATGAAATCGGCCGATGACGGTCAAGCAGGCTTTTGGTTGCTAATGTAATGTGTGAATTTTATTTACCACGTATATAGTCCTCAATCGCGTGCCGAAATTTTTTCAGACTTACAAAGCAACTACTGTAAGTTTAATCAACTACTGTAGTAATATCACTTTAGTTAAATTGACACAAGCAATCTAACATATTTTTATCATATTTACTTGTTTTCAATATCGACGGTCTTACACAAATCTTAATTTTAGGTGTATTATTGTTTGTGTACCCAGTAGTTTAACTATTCTACATGTCCTATAATGTAAGAATTATGTGAACCAGACTCGAGGACTGCCCGAACTATTTGTTCTTTACATCCGTTTCTTAATTTAACGCGAAACGTTTGTAGGAATACTTGAGGATTTAAAGAAAGATTCGCTAAATTCTGACCTTCTGTATTTTCCTTTGTATCATTAGTTACTTTTTATTTATTTAAAGTCAGGTAACAACACATTATCAAGACGTGTTTCTTCCCGCACCAGGCACATTTTTCGTTATATCTGAATTTTTTTATAATTATGACTTACCTTTAAACAATAAAAACAAGCGTTCTTTTCCTTTACTATGTTTGTTCTTTCCTCCATAGATAATTTCTTAGCTTTATCACAGTGTGAGTTATTGTGACTTTCGTTACAAAAAATGCACCTAACAATACGCGTCTCCTTAGCGTTGAAAAGTCCTGCAGCTATAGGTACTTCGTTGTGGTCTAGCTCTGAATTTTTGATTTTCTTATCTTTCACATTTAAACTAAATCCATTTAACGTCAAATCTATGCACTGCTCTGCTTCAACTTCAGTCTGTAAGAAAGTCATAAGCTTGTTAGTTAAACGTTCTTTCATGTCCACAATACCTATCATCGAGGGATGTCTTTGCCACGTTCTTATTAGTTCTTCAGGCAAACACGATTCAACTAAAGGTTACAGCATAGCTGCACACATTTCCGTGATGACGTTAAGTGACTCTAGTGCTCTTAGATGTGTTTCTAATTTGTCATAGAGATCGACGACATTTGGTTTGAAGTCTGTTTTAGTTGCGTTATTTAACACTAATTTGAGTAGTTGCGAATATATAACTCTATTAACAGCTCTTCCTTGCCAAATCTGTTTTTGAGACTATCAATAACTGTCATAATTCTCGGTGGTGGGGGGAAAATTATTAACGAGTTCATATGCTCTAGAGCCTTTAACCATAGTTTGGATAAGATATTGAAATTTATCCTCTTTGGCGATCGTTTGATCTTCATGAATATTTTTGAATAGGCTCTAAAACAAAAGCCATTCCTTTAGATCTCCACTAAATTTCTGTAACTCGATTTTAGGAAGCTTAAATCTGTACCTTGTACTATCTGAGTAACTCGTGTTGTGACTGCTAGGTTATGTTTAGTAGGTATGATGTCGATTCGCTGAGACGGGGGCTCGGTATATCTTAGAACGCTTACCTTGATCTGTTGCTCTATCTGTTGATATTTAATACGGTATTCATCCGCAATCTCGATTTCTTTTATCATACTGTCCTATTGTATATCTGACAAATTTTGCATTATGTGAAGTATTTGTTCGTTCAATTCTTCTAGTTCGCTCGCCTTGTCTTTAAAGAATACATATATCGCCTTGATTTCATTTACATCGGGTTCTTCCTTTTCGAATTCGTGGCGCAACAACGTAAATGTTCTGGTAAATGCTGCCCGCACGATCGTTCGCATTTTCCGTGGTTTTTCCACCGTGTCTCGGGAGCAATAATAATTCTCCGGAAATCTCGTGTCACGGTCGCTAATATGTTAAAATATAAAAGAGATAGATTCTCGTTCCGGAGACTAGGTAGACATTTGGATTAACAAGACTTGATTAAGCAAAAGACACCGTGTATTCTTAACGTTTTGAGTATCACATACAGAAGGAAAGACGAGTGTCGTTAACATAAAAAAATGACCGGGGACATCTAGCGTATACGCCCGCGCCGTGAGCTATTCTGGTTCTCTTGTTCCAGTGCCATCTATCGAGCAACGGTAGATCGTAATTGCGGACAGATGCCGACAGAAATCGCGACGTATAGAACGCGGACAGAAACGGACAGGATTCCAGCACATAATTACTGACAGATGCCGATAGAAATCGCGACGTACAGAACGCGAACAGAAACGGACAGGATTCCTGCACGTAATTGCGGATAGATGCAGGAGAATTGTTATTACGTACAGGATACAGATAGTGACGGATAGGATCTACTGTTGCAAATGCGGATTTTCTATCCGCACGTTGTGCTTGCGGATAGAGCGGACAGCTTATAGTTAGAAACAAATAGAAATCCTGTTCGCTTCTGTCCATTTTACTGCGTTATTTTAACCAGTGGATGCCGCCCAGTCTAACAGATCGAATAATTTTGAGATCGTGAATAAAATAGCACGTTTCGTTTTAGCCAAATCTTGACTAAGACTGACTTAGAAATAGAATACATCTGACACAGGGTTCTATGCGATTCCAAGAACTTTAAATTGCTCGTCGCCGGTGATCATCTGATTATTTGCTAGACCGTGATCTGAAGAATTGAGGTCGGTCAAAAGGTCGTTGCAATTGCTTACCCATTTTCGTAACCGAAAGCCGCCCTTCGTTAAAAAAGCGATTAATTGATTACGAGTTTCAAGCGCAAGATTTTTATCGTCAGCTCCGAAGATGCAATCATCTACATAGACTTGTGAATTTGATATCGGAACCGTGAGCGGGAACTGCGATCCCTCATCTTGCGTGAGCTGTTTAAGTATCCGAAGGGCGAGGTAGGACGTGGCTACTGTACCGTATGTGACTCTCAGGAACCGATATTCGTCGAGACAGGCACATCCGGTGAAGCGTGCCATAGAATGAGTTGAAAATCTGTTTCGCGTGGATCGACCAATATATCTGTCTATATATTTTTTTAATATCGGCAATATAAACATATCGGTGTTCGCGCCATTGTAATAGGCCATTTTGTTGATGGGCTTGACGCGTTAAATACGACGCATAAACGTGTTGTCGCGCTTGACGTTCGTATTACGGCGTGAAGCGGAATATAATAGCTCTGATCAGTGTTACTGAACATCGCAGGCTTATGGACTTTGGTCATGTTACCAAGGGTACAATACTCGGCAAGGAAATTACGATACTCGGAAGCTGAAGTCAGCTGATGAAGAAAACGCCTCTCAAGACGTTGGAGGCACGCGAACGCACCGGCACGGAATTCACTTAAGGGGTTATACCTGTTTGAAATTTTTTTTTTCTGCGATTTTTTTTTATTGGCTTAAAATACACTATAACATCCCTAGATTAATAATCAATAACGTCCTTGCATGAAAACAACTTGGAAATGTTCTTAAAATTATTTTTTCTGGAGCAGTTCCGAAGCGTAAAAATGCATAATTTTAACTTTACCGTTGACGCTGCATTTTTAAATCTCGCGCGCATAAAAAACCTTAGTTCGGACGATTTTCTGTCACGTTGCTTGGGTGGATACACGCAAAATGCGAACGAGTCATTCAATTCCGTCGTGTGGTCCATCGCACCAAAGGCTGTTTCGAGCGGGAAAAAAGTGGTTGACATAGCCACTGATATCGCAGTTTTGATTTTTAATGATGGATTATCGAGCTTATTTCCTGTTTACGATACACTCGGACTGTCAGTTGGGCGAAATTTATATGATTTTTGCTTGGAATCGGACGAAAATCGCATCAAAGCTGCCGAGCACTCGCTTTCCGATGCTGCAAAAAATGCTCGACGGAGCATTACTTCAATGAGAAAAGAGCTGGAGGAGACAAATACGACCACTGAGGGGCAATTATATGGTGCTGGGATAGCAGAGTGAAGGTAAAAATTTTTTATTGACCAAATTATTGAGATTTCTAAAAGTTATAGCGTTGTGAAACTTCAAACGCGTTTTTCTCGAAACTATATTTTGCAAATCGGCGAGCAGTAGAACTCGAAGAGTTTTCGTCCGATTGACCTGAAAATTTAACTGTAGCTTCTTAATTAAATTATCTAGTGAAGTACACACGATTTTTAAAATTGATGAAGAGGATTTTTTTTTATGAACAGTTAAAGTCGATTTTTTTGGGTGAAAAATGTGACTTTTTTTGTAAGTCTCGCAATTCTTTAAAAAACATTCTAAAATTATGATCATGTGTACTTCACTAGATAATCTTATATAGTTTATGAAAAAATTTTTTTTATGCTTCCAGATTACGATGCAGGGGAGTTCTACTGCTCGCCGCGGAGGACTACAAAAAAACCTTGTACTCTTTATGCAATCCTACAGCCGCCATTTTATAAAAAAAAATTCATAATAAAATTTTATCTTACTCTTTA